CGCAGCAAAGATACGAGGCGAATGCAACGATTGAAGGAGCAAGCGGATGCTGCAAAAGCCAACGATCCATTAGCATCATTGGATGTTCCAGAGGACGCCCCACAAGATATGGACTCGACCCTTCAGGGTTCAATCTTGAATGGCCACGGATATCAAAATCACCACGCCGATAGTACCGCTAATAGTCATGAAAACGGCCATACGTCTACTTCCAATGTAGAGGATCGTGTGAGGGAATTAGGGAACCATCTTGCGGACGTCGACATGTCTGGTATGCAAAACGGCGAAGAAGATTCAGTCTACCCAGATCCATCTCAGTATCCTGAACCATCAGTGGTCGGCCGTGAACGGATGATGGGAATGGGATTCTACGACCAGGATGAGAGCGCAGATAGAATCTTGTTCGACCCATTCCAAATGCCCTCTGCCGATGCTCTCGATGACGAGCCAGAAATACCCGAATTCGTCAAAAAGACACTTCGGCTCGCCAAGAGAAAGGCGAGATTTGAGTCAAATGATGATCCCGATTTTAGGGGTCCCAGGAATCAGCCGCGTAAAAGGCCTAGGACCGGAAACCTCAATCAACTCGTCAACCTTGACCCAGCTTTAATTGGTGCTCTTGGTAATAATAATCCCACTCCGACGAGAGTAACCACCTCGAACGACGCCTCCGAGCAACCAGTCAATGGCATTGTAGAAGCACAACCCGAGAAGGCCCCTAAGCCAGCTCCTCGCCCCAGGCAGAAGAGACCGCCTCTCCCTGTTGATCCTTCGCGACCTACCTTACGACATGCCAAACCAATGACGTCGTACGTGGAAGCCGAGGAGCCTGTAGAGGATCCAGATGATTCCGTCCTTATCAAACCTCTGAGGATCATCGGATCAGAAAACGAGAACGGTGCTGACATGGACCATGTAGACTTGGCGGCGGATGTAATTCGGGCGTTGATGCAACTTCCTAGGGGTGAAAAAGACGGCCCACTCGCTGCTAAAAGTACACCGCAGCCCGGAGCCAAAAGGCGAGGACGGCCGCCCCGAAATTCCATCGGGACGACTACCGCTCCGTCTACGGCCCCATCTACAGGTAAAAAGCGTGGCCGCCCGAGGAAGTCTATACAAAATAAACCTGAAAACGAGGATACTACCATGGTGGATGTCGACGATGCCGACGTCACTCAGAAAGAGAACAGTGTTACTATAGATGAACTCGAAGCTCAACTGGTGCAAGAACTGGGACGAGATTTGGGTTATGCAGACAAAGATGAGGCACCTCCCGAAGGATCGGTAAGGAAAAGAGGTCGGCCCCCAGGACGACGTGCACAACAATCGCCCGCCACGCCAAACCCTATTGACCTTGAGCCACCCCCAGATATCCGCTACATGTCCATGAGAGAGCGAGTTGCCCTCAGGGGCGGGAAGTTCAAGATGGTCTCGCGCCGGACAAGGGCCGACGCGGCGGATAGTTCTGCCGCGGCTTCAAGCAAAGGAATTCCCGTGGCCTCAACCCCTCGAGAAACAAAAGATAAACCAACCACCACAGAACCCAACGACGCCCGAGAGCCTGACAGGCCCAGCGCCAAACGCGGCCGCCCGGAGCCAGTCGACGACGACTTCGAACCCGTCATGGTGGTCGAGGACTCACCTTCCGCCAGCCCCACGCCAGAACCCGAGATCCCGAGCCCGCCGCGGCCGACTCGGAAGTCGGCCGCCCGGACGGTCGTCAGGCTTACGTTCTCGGACGACAGCAGCTCGGACGACGACATCCCCGCGAGGCCGCGCTTCACGGCGAGGCGCGGGCGCGGGCGTGGGAGGGGCAGGGGGAGAGGTGTCGGTAGGTCGCGCGGTCACGCATAAGCTATCTCTACGGGCTGTTAGGATCAAGGTACGGGTTGAGATGGAAGGGCTTTCCTCGTGGCGTTGGACGGGGTTTACTGGTGGGAAATACGGCGTGCTTTTTTCTAGCTGCTTGGGGTGAGGCTCCTACCTTTTGCTGCGGTGTGGGGTTTACCCCTGTTTGCGGACTCTACGGTGTTGGACCTGCTGGCCGAATTGGCTACTTTATGTAAATTACTGTGGTTGTAGGTACCCATACTGCAGTGGCTAGTGGTCGGGTTGTTGGTGATAATTACCTATTTTCAGATGTCTTTTTGTGCTTGGCTTATGTGGGTGATCTTTCGAGGTTAACGTGATATGCCATGTAGGTGGGGTTGGATACTTGTCACTTGTTTTAGGTAAAGGTACGGCGATTATTCCGGCTGTTGAAATAGGAGGTTATCATGATACTTGACGACTCGGGCAGGGAAGTAAGATTCGTTCGTTTTAGATATGGATGGGTTATGGTTGGAGCGTGCCATTTTACCATCATTTCTTCAGCGCTGAAACTTCATCCTTTTGAATATCTAACTTAGGTCTATCTTATATTCGTCACAAATTGTGTTGCCTGTCCTATGACCCCTTTCGATGTTCTTATCGCCTTATCAAAGAACCCGTCCATGCTGTGTTAGTTGAAGACTGTCACGAGGCGGGCCTAACAATGCGGACATTACCCACGTTGTTGCGCGAGATCAATTGAACCATTAGACATACCCAAGTGGGCAGAAAGATACGGTATATAAGACTATATTAACTTCCAGTTTATTCTTCCAGCTGGCGACAATGGCAATAGAGACATAAGTGTTCATTAAGCTATGCAATTTATTCATTTACCTCGAAGGATATCTTCAATTTTAGGCAACCCTTTATCCAGCCCATCCTCCCTCGGCAAATCGATCGCAGTTCCCTTGTACGGCTCGTACGGCTTTTACGACTCACTCTCATCCTTTGTCAAGGCAATAACGGCTTGTTTCTCCTTCAAGATATCTTCAACATCAGGAAACTCCTCCTCGTCGAATGGATCATCCTCCTCGCTCGGCTTTTGGCTAGCTGCAACAAGAGCCTGCTGGCGCTCCAGTATACGATTGATTAAATGATGGGTGTAAGAGCTTACTCCCCTAGCCAGATGACTTGATTCCTGGTCCAGGGGATGGCCTCAAGTATAGCCTCCAGTTATAGGTTTCTGGCTGCTCGGGGGACCTAGTTCTGATCCACGGCCTTAAGCACGTGGTCACAAGAAAAGAGCAATGGGAGTGCGTAAAGCTTCTCCTATATGTTTGCATTAAGGCCTCTATCGAGGCCTCCTTTTGGAAGGTTTTGAATACTTATATCATCGTCGTAGTAGTCTCTCATAAGTTATGAGCTAAGTTCCAGGTGTTGTACGTTGGGGACTTCCCCCGATGTCCTTTCTCCCGAGTACATACCAATATAACGTGAGCCATTAAGTCGCCTTTGAAGAGTCTTCATCAACCACATCAACTTTCTGTCGCAAGGAAATGGTAATTCCTCCTGTGGTCATCCAGATGCCTGCATATCTGCCTCCATAGACCATGATCTCTTCGAGCACATATGTGTATTCGACAGCGTTGGTCATGGTGTGCCGATGACCTGTTTCGTGTGCCATGTGTTTCCGTTACCCTAGATAGATCGCAGGGTTCTTTGGTATTTAAAATTGAACGCATTTTAATTTCCCTTTCTACTTGCCACGTCTCGAATAGAGATAAGCGTTGGCTCAGGGACAAACGAATAGTTACCATTCCCAGCCGTTTTGTAGTTGGAAAAGGGAAAAACTCAGAACTAGCATTTGTGCGCGTGGGGGTCATCATCACCTGTTGCGGACGATGGTACTTAATCATTAAGTGCCACGGTGGCTAGACCAACTCTACTGAACCGGAAGAGAACCATTGGCTACTCTTGCGATAGAAAGAATGGTGACTCGTGTCTTTGATTTGAAGAAAGCGACGGTTCACTTATTTGTGATTGGGACTTGAGGATCATTATAGCCTAAACCCACACCGTCATGAAGTATAATATCCACTTCAACCCTCACTTACCAAAGGCTTGGTCAGACCTTGAGTCCCTGGAGGTGTATGTATCTTTGTAGATTGCTACAAGATGAGAATGTCGATTATGTACTTTCGTTCAACATGAGATCAATGATGTGATTTCGTAGTTGGTCTATTTTCTCCTCGTTTTCTCATTGCTTGTATGAGATCTCCTTTTTGCGGTTTAATTGACAACTAATGTCTAGGTCGGCCGGTCGTAATTGTGAATGTATGTTTGCTTAGAGGCTATGATTTGGTTTTCCTAGGAACCAGTAGGTACCATAAACCTTGGCCTGTATGGGCGTGGATGTCGCCGTACCTGTCCTAAAAGTACCCGTAGGGCGGGATAATGATAACTGACGCGCTATTAAACTGTATCGATGATGGTATTATTGTGCATGTTCCATCGTTTAAAGTGATGGATATGATCTTATGAAAAGACTAGAAAACATGATTATAATATGAAGATGGTGCAATGCTAGAATTTAGGCTCATCTAAAGGAAATGTGACGAAATCCTTAGGTATCTTGGTGATGATGACTTTGTGAGTAAGAACAACTCCGATAGATTTTCAGTGAAATATTTAGGCTTCTAGTAAGATTTTATATAGCAAAGAAATTGACTCATAGGAGCAAAAATTAATGATGACTATAACAAAGATGGTGATGTTATGGTAGGCACAACTCAATATTATGACAGCGCGCTGCGTGATTGCGGTGGACCAACTGAGAAAACAGTAGATGTTGCATCCCTACGGATCTGTAGTGGTAGCCACTTTAGATGCTTAGAATTATTTCTAGTATGCAAACACCGGTACCTGAGTATAATGGACGATAATTTCCAGCAAAACTTCCAAGCCTAACTTAACTGATCTGTGATGTTGGAGTGGAAAAGGGGAAGGATTCTTGGCCTGGGGGAAGAAAGGGGTAAAGAGAGATAAGATAAAGGAAAATCAATTCGGCAAATTGCTTGGCAGGAAATTGTGATTGGCCAACTTTAGCTTGGTCTCCAAAGATATGCTCGTCAGGGTAATAAACCTATTCTGCGGACCAAAATTTAACGACTTAATCTCAGTTGTGGAAAGGCACAGTAGCAAAGTGGTTACTGCGTGTGACTCGAACTCCTCTGATGAAAAATCATCACCGGTAGTCATCACATCTCTTCGGAGGCGTCCGTTCGAATCGGGCCTGTGTCGATATTATCTTTTGCTTTTTATCCGTCTTTCTTTTTGTTGTTGTTTTCTTCATTTTTATCTACCCTTCTAATTTATGCTTTTAATGCTACCTGCATATCCTGTTATCGTTTCCATTTGGTTGTAGTTTGACGCAGGTCCGATTGTGATTACATCTTGTACTTGCATAATGAAGCAGATTAAAAAGGAATTCTGTGCCACATAGCATGAGTATTTCGTAACGCAAATAATAACGGTAATTGTATGATGAAACCTTGATAAGTACATATCTATGCTCTTGAATTTGTGATTATAGTCATATTTCATTTATATACTCTCCTAAAACCGTACGGCGCATCGACGAATCCATTCTGCTTTCTGACCATCTGGCTTGTACCTACCCAGGTACTTATCTTTCACTAGCAAAACTCCGCGTATTCGGCTTGATGTGCCGAAGCTTGTCGGTAAGTGCTGAGCCTGGGCGGAGAAGAGAAACTAACAAAGGCACTTTAAATAGGTATGTTTAGTGGTTACTAACTATTATAGTACAATGCATAGTAGACAGAATAATGGTTCTTCGCCGTAGATGACTTTTCTAGACTCCGAAGGGCATCATGAGTTATAGGTAACTTTCAATATTAACACATCAGAGCGCATTAATTGCTAACACCTGCTCGGACTGTTCGGACAGAATATGTTCATGTGTACGATGGTCAGGGGTAATGGGATGGTAAATAATGAGTTGCCCTGTTTAAGTCAACTCGGTATCGAAATACTTGTCTTGCATTAGTTCACTGGCTAAGTAGTCAGGCGGGTAGTGCATTTGTCGCAAAACAGGGGCTACCTATTTTAGCCGGCACGTTAAAGCTACAGACTCGGGGAAGTATACGAAAGAAATATTTTAAGCTCATTGTTCCGAGCCATATTAGAACGAATTGTGCATATGGGTCGTACCCGCGAGGGTAAATTTACCTGAATAACAAGAATATCTAGGTGTTTCAATGATACCGCGCTCGGCCTTGATATCTATCTCGGGACGTTCCGATCGTTCTGAACCCTGAGAATATGTCCTATCATTACAACATGATCGATGTATCTCCAAGGCTAACTTGACAGACGCAATACGTAGCACCATCCCATGGTAGACGGCTTCATGTGGGTCAAGTTTTCGGGTGCATGGCATCTCAGGTCCATAGGATCGAAGCCCCTGTATTGATGTTAGCCTACTGGCCGTGCGTTTATCGATCTACACTGGGATCCCGATGATTTGACAAAGACCGCCATAGGTATTTATTACTGTTATGACATGTTTCCTTCAAAAGGTTTTAATCTAAAGGTTATACAAGAAATAGTATCTATCATAAGCTCTAAACAAATTCCTTCTCATAGGAATATCGACGAGACGAACACGGCTTCATTATTACCTAGGCACCTGTATGAGTAACATTAATGTTAGGAGTGTGCTTGGGAAACTTGTCATGAAGATGTGTACTGTGTATGTTGCTTCATATTGTACGCCGTTGTCTGATTCGCGTGTCATGTCTATTACCTGGGGCGTGCTTATATGCGGGTGATCCCGACCTTCTAGAATGTTACTGAGTTTCAAATGACATTTCTTTCCCGCTATGTGTAGATCTTTTTTAGTACATCGACTTACCTAAGTACCTAGGACCCTAGGTAAATACGGATGAAAATCAAGACGAAATATCAAACGAGGAAGCTAAACTAATAACTTAAGTAAGGTCATCAGATAATTATATCCTCTGTACTTATTTAGTGTTATAGACGGATTGAAAATAAAAGCTTCTCAATAGGTCTATAGTATACTATGAAGTAATACACGAATTGCCAAGCACTCGGTATAGAAGGATCTTTGGGCGAGCCGTGCAACCACCACGAGATTCGTCCCGAACTATTGAACGAACTAATGCTATAATGACAGGGTCTAGTACCACATTCTATCGCTCTCTTGGTTTAGGCTTCTATGTGATGTCGCCCAATTCGTTAACTCTTCAACCACTGCCTCAACTACGTCAGCAGCTAAAAAATTGGCGTCTGGTCGTCTGGGAAGAAAGCTGAACGATTGCATGCGATCTTCAACACCCAACCCCAATTGCCCCCTTTCCCCCTCTTTCATCCCCAATTCTCCCCTTTTTTTGCAACACAAATACGAGCGCTCGACACGAAACTTTACAGATTTAGAAGGTTGCATTAATAAGTACCTAAATGAGCACACATAGTAGTCAAACTATGGAATATGCCAATGGACAAAAAGAAAAGGGTATCGGTAGATGTCCCTCCTGTTCTATTCAAGCACATGGTTCCCCAACGCCACCCACCACCTGCTATTGCACATGATAGGCAATAGAGCTTACAATGAGCCATTGCTGGAGATTTTAGAATGTGTCGTACGATCGTCAAAATTGTGTATTGGCGTTGCTCGTGACTGGCTATCCTCCGTCGAAACAGTGAACTTCGTAGTGCGCATAATTCCGGTACCGGTCAGAATTTCTTCGTCAGAGTCTCGTGCAGATCGAACTTCAGTATGGACTCGCCGGCCGCTCATATCCTTCAACCCAATACCGCTATCCGCTCCATCCGTAGTCCTAATATAGCCTTGTTGGGCGTGTGACGCACCACCGTACTTGTGGTGACCGTAGTAGGAGCGGCCGCGAGTAGACTTGAAGCGCGGCATACAGCGACGGATAAGAGGCCATAGTGCAGGAGCAGATGCAGTCAGGATCGCTAAGTTGCACTCGATTGAAGAGACACAGAATCCGAGAGAGAAATTCTTGTCCGGACTCGTATCATGGAAATTCTGAGCGAGGAAGTAAAGACGGACGATGCTGACCACCGTGACCCTAAAGTGAACCCTGTATTAGCATCTCGTCTCATGGGTGTCTTTTGGTGATTCTAGTTATGGCTGCGTGTAAAAAGACAGGGGTTGCTTACAGTACGCCCAGCATAAAGACACCAATCAAGGCAATCTTTCTGTTCTTATTTATCTTTAATCCAAGGAAGATGTAGAATGGGAGTGCAACGGCGACAATATCAGTCATAATTGTCAAGGAGGCAGCCGCTACACCAAAGGTGAATTGTTGAATGCAATACCCTGGAACCAATGGATGCCAATTTATCTCGATAGGGATGCATTGGACAATGACAGTGATGAAGATAGCCACCATCAGAACCGTATTAAAGACGATGGTGGCCCAGACGACATATCGAACTCCCGCCTTGATACCCGAGAAACGAAGTAGAAAGACGAGGACGGACTGCTTGACTAACGTTAGGATAGGTTGATAGACAGCTCCTACGACGTATATCCATATAAGTCCCTCGGTGGGATCAAAAGGCATGGGAACATCGTAGTAATGAATACCTATGTAAAGCTCTTTCATGACTACACCTCGTTAGGTCGCAGTATCAAGGTGCACCATACTGTGTTCACATACCTTTAATAGATCCTGCCGCCAGAGCAATACTCAACGCCATTGCACTAAGGATAAGGCCATCATCTACATTTACTCAAGTTAGCATTCAGCTCCAATATTGACGACATAACTTATTGGGTTTTGACCTACCCCAACCGAAGCTCTTTGTATCGAGCCGGATATAAGTCCTCAAGATGACCACCGTTAGTGCAAGTGCAGGGCATACCACCTCAATGGCGATACCCAAATTCTGAAGCCAACTTGTTGGATTGGGATTCACAGCTGCTGTGGGAGCTTGAGCGGTTTCTGACATGGTGAGAGATCATTAGAGCATCTATGCAAAACTTATTTAGACAAGCTAAAGATCGATCCGGGGACGAGTCCACTCAAGGAGTAGAGATCGCCGTTGGAATTGCGACGAGCCGTTCATATATGTTTCGTTGAATTTACGCTAGTTCATAGATCTTGGTAACTAGGTCGAGGAGGAATCGTGCTGGGTGCAACATTATCAAGGGTAAATGAAGTTTCAAGAAGTTACAGCAACTCTTCGAAATCGTGGCCGACGAACTATCTAGGTGAATGTAAAGCGACTTGGCAGCATACCATGATCAACGGCAAGGTACCATGGCGCACCACCTTTTTATGCCCTATCTAGAAGCATATCATAACATGGATTCCCCAGTCCCAATCCAGGACACTCGAGGGCCTATCTAAAACTGGGTATTATTCCAGTCTTGGCAGGCAAAAATGCGCCGGCCGGGACTCGCACGAACTTACTACAAAGTTTCTATAGCCTACGACTTCGTTTTCGTCTACATATCATATTGGTTGAGCTGATCAACAGCAACTATTCACCCCAAGCGAGATAACATGTTACATCGTTCCCTTCTCCTTGAGTTTTCCCGGCTTCACTCGAACGCTTTATGTGGTAGCGATGGTATTAGTATGCATAGTTCCTGTCCGCATACATTGCATTGGATAACTACTCCACAGGCTACGCAGTGTTGTAACAGGGGTATGGCCGTCAACATGGCTTCGATCTATATCTAACTTAAAGTCACTTAAACATGCTGAATCCTTCTAGTGTATCGAGCATGTAAGCGAAGGCACTAGTGCTATTAAAATCTTTGTCTTTATTTGATATAACAGTTGTTCATTCCATGTTCGATCTTGGTTCAGCGAAATGCCAACGCTTTCGTCTTCCTCCTGACATCGTGCGGTTCTTTAATGACTTCGTCTTTTCGAAGTCTCGGAAAACCTTTCCCCTTGATCTTTATGGCCTATCGGATGTTTACTCACCCCTCACTGATGGTAAGTTATGTAGGATGTCACGTTCTGAGGACTTAGCTACCACATTCAGTATATGTTACCTCATATTTCCGATGCCGCATTCACCCCTCAAAAAGCTCGTGAAACATAAGGCTAAGTAGATTGTTACACATTATGTGATGTCTCTTAAGCTGTTACCTTCCTGATGACATATCAAATGAAGGCCGATCTTTCCTGTGCGATGCAAATGTAGATATCTTGGGGAGGTGAAAGAGTCGGCTGTATCACGAACATGGTGTTTTGAAACTCCAAAAAACTTGT